TAAAAATTTCCATGTCTAACTTAGACCTGCCAAATGGTATTCTGCAAAAAGCTACCATTTTTAAAACCTCTTTGCTAAATAACCTTATTTTAAAAATTGTGAAATGCCTATAGAAAATGACCGTAGAAGCCATGCCGATACTTGGTGACTGTAGATCACAGAATGGACTAAACAATGTGTTGAAATGTGTCTCCAACCCTTTTCCAACAGCACAACCTCCAGCATGTAACACGATGTAAGGTGTATTAATTACTCCTGTGCACTGAGGTCTTAGCAAACGTGCACACTGACTAGATGAAGGGGTAGAGGAAACGAGACATTGATCTGGTGCAACATGTAACAAATATACAGCTTGATTTTTGAGATGTGCTACACAAATAAATCAACAGATAGCTGCACACTAAAGAGAGGATTTTCTATTGCTTTTTGCAAAATGGATGAAGACAAGTCTTCTGTGATGGCAGGAGCGGATAATCACTCAACCAGTAGTTTTAATTTAGCAAGCCAGAGGTGCTGAGGCAGTGTTAATGGAGGGCCAAACATTTTAAGACTTTGAAGATAAGTTAGTTGAGGAGTTATTAAAGTAAATCTAGCCACCAAGGCAGAGATCCATCTCTCCTTATGTTAAACATCTGATTGTTTATGTTGGAAGGCTTCCTGTAAAAGGAGAAACAGATACTTCCTGAGAGAAGTTCAGATGATCAGTGGCTCTTTCTCATCCTTGGCTACCCAGGAAACACTTGAACAGAGCAACTTACAAAAGCCTTATCTGGACCAGTGGGTTTGACTCTCCCTTTCTTGCCACCCGTTTGATGCTGACAGAGGTGCAAGATTATAAGGAAATTACTACTTACACTTTTTTATGTTTGGTGTGAATATGGTATGTGGTATATACGAGTAGATTCAAACCCACTGTGTCATTTGCTGTAGCAAATCAGAAAAAAGGATGAAATAAAATGTCACATCACATTATTTCCTTTTAAACCATTCACAAGTTGTTTTGATCAACCTCAACACGCATTTTGAGGCAAATATAATAATTGGTTATAAAAGATACCCTATACCAATGACAGTGCTATTGTAACGTGTATTTTGCTAGGAAAACATATATTTACGCTGAATCTTTAGACTGAGGAGCCCCTTTTATGGCCCATGTTGGATCATGACACATAGGCTCTGATAAAAGTAAATCTCCTTTTTAGTGCTTTGGAGCTACAGACCTGAGTGGAGAAAGGGATATAACTGCAGCAGACAACTGTGTCTATGGCAGATTTTGCTTACAATAGAACAGTTTATTTCTGACTTGTTTCCTTTTATTTCTTATGCCCTTATCTTTTTACTCTGTTCTTTTTTCTACTTTGCTTATAAGCGTGTTGGGTCATTCCGATGACACAAAACCACACACACCACCATGAAATGAAGGCATTTAAGTGGTGACATTTCATAGCATTTCTCTATTGCCCTCTGGAAGTTAATGTGTCTATTCTGAGTCATCAAGGCTTTCTTTAGACAGTAGAGAGGTAGTCTCCACAGTACTGTAGAGAAGTAGTAGTACTGTAGAGAAAATTCCAAGGGGAAGAACATCCCACGTGTCTTTAGTGCCCCTTCTGACAGCTTTGTCAAAGATCCCCAAAGAGGAAGCAACAAAAGAGACTGAGTTCTTGCTCTTACTTTTTGAATGAAATCTGTCATCCTATAACTGAGATAGAAAATGAAAAAAAATCCAAATTTTTAGAAGAAATGGAAGAAAGAAAAGATATGACAGTATAATTCTGCCTGAAGGTAAGATACGTGTTGCAATGTGCACTGAATTTTTCACTGAATTAATTTGCATGAATATTGCAGATGGAAATGCGTATGTGCTATGCCTTTAAATGTAGATGTTTCCTAGAATGTTATTTACCTGTTCACAAATTATGTATTCCTATTATACCATATATTGAAAAATAAAAATAAATGTAGTTACTACAAGGGAGGAGGGTCTTTTTAATCTTTAATTAAATATTAAATAGAAGTGTTCTTTGATGATGTCAGTCTCAACTTCATTAGCTAACAGATCATACCTAATCCAGTAGTTATGGCAGACTAGGATTTACCGACTAATTAAATAAAAACAGTCAGTATTGATACATAAAAAGTCATACAACTAATTAAAATTGTAACAAATTGTTTTTTAGTAATTTCCTGCATTCAGCAGCAATCAAAATTGCACCTAATGTGCAAAAATCCAATTTTAGTCTGCTTTATTGAAAGAAGCCAAAAAATAGGCTCTTTTACACCCACATATACACTGACACACTCTATGAAATCTGTTTTGACAGCTTCCTATAATATTTAGCCAACGACAACAGGCAAGCTAAAGAATCGATAACTAAACCTTTGGTGCATGTTGCAATCATAAGTAATTATTTACACGTCATGTTGAATCATTTGAATGGTGAAGTACTGTTCAGATCCATCATCTAAACAGACAAGTGTATATATGTGCTTTCAATTGGCTCCTTGGTCCCTTGGGACTTCATTTGAATTATTCTGATGTGAATATTCATGAGGTTTGATGGTAGTGTTTACCACTTCGTTATGGCAAAGATTTAAGAGATATGCTACAGTTCCTGGAAAGGAGTAGCCATGACATTTGGGAAACAAATAGCTACGGTTACACCACCTGCATAGCTCATATGTGGAGAAGCTGCAGCTGCTCCAAGACATCTCTGTGCATCTGTGCACAGTGGGGTAATGGGATTTATATGGAAAAATCAATGCTTTGTACTGGATCCAAAAGCCAATGGTTGTAAGGAATCCCACAGACGACCAAGTCTGCCTGTTGGGCAGCCACCTAGGACAAGTCATATAATGTATGATTTCAAAGCTTACCAGTCTGTGCCTTGCAGTGCCAGGCTGATAGAATGTGGACCCCTGAGATTGACTCTGATGCCCCAGCTGCTCAGTGCCATCAGCTCTTGCTCAGCTGTACTTCTCACTTGATGGCACTTTTCAACATAAAGTACCTCAAACCGAGCAAATAAAAGCTGGGGCAGGGAAAATCTCCAGATACCTTTGAAATAGCTGGATGTCTAGTTTTGCTGATCATAAAATGGTCGAAGTAATTCTTGTCCCATTTATCTAACCCACAGCTATAATCTCCTTATTGATAAGGTGCAGAGAACTTTGATCTTGGAATTCAACAAGTCCCAGTAATATTATTTGTGCTCTTTTTCACAAGTGCAGCTGTTATTTTACAGGCCTCCCATAAGGCACAGAGACAGTATGCTCCAAGAATGGAAGAACTGAGTGCTCAGCACCTCTGCTGTGATTTAAACTGGATTAAAGTCTGAACTCCTGAGCTGGTAAATATTTGCATTTTTATATAGTGACTATGTACTGTGGAAGTTGCATGACAGTGCAATATGGTTTATGACAGTTATCAGTTTGACTTTTTCATTGGCCATGTCAAGAGGTTCAAGAGCATCTTGTGAGTTTAGGAACTCACATCTCTAAAGGTGTTTTGTCTTTGCCACTTTACCGAGGGTCAGTGGAACATAGACTGCTAATTCCTTCAGTTACTTCTGGAAAACTGGGCCTCTATTAGCTCAAAAGTGGACAAGGAAAAGCTTGTATAGCGCTGGTAATGCTGACTGACATATGCACTCTACTGGTCTTGAGCTGGTTTGAGAATTTGAGGTGTCTCACTCTGAGTTTCCCAGATGTGAGGATTTCAGTCTCACAAGACATTTTGGAAAATCTTGATAGATGGTTTTCTAACTGTGGTACCAATACCTTGCTAGTACATGAGATTCTTTAAAACAGGAAAAGACATTATTACCCAAGGAGCTGACAACCCTGTTCAATGGGTATAAAGATCTGGAGGTGGGAGTTAGCCTGGTTGCTACAGCTGCCTTCGATAACACAAACCAGGTCCTACCAGTGCAAACCTTTCTTAATATCTCTCCTTTTCTTTTCTAAATGAAATCTTCTTATATCTTCCAAACATTTTAAAAAACCCAATAAAATAAAACAAAATAAAAAAATACCACCTCCAGCAAGTGGCTGGGCTCACAAAGACAGGTAAAGTTGTCCCTAAACAGTGTTTAGGTGTCCCTAAACATAATGTTTCAAGGAGCAATAGTTCTTTCATGCTCATTAAATCAGAAAAAGGATACCAAGGACCTCTCCTAACAGTCAATATGATACAGGATTCAGTTGTCTGCAAACTAGAAGGTCAGGAAAATCAAGTGAAGAGCCTGTGGAGCCTCACCAATTGAAAGCTTATTAATAATAGAAGAGATTATTCACTGTTATCAAATATAGTTACAGACATCAAACACCCTGCAGCTGAAAGACCATTTATTTAACATACAGAATAAGTAGATGTAGTTGTGTGATGCGCTGCTCTGCAGTATCTCAACACCAGGCTTCAGGTGGCAAAATAAACTACATTACTAGAGCTAAAATAGTGATTACGTACACGGATTTTATGTGGCATAGTATGCTTAAGAAAAAAAAATCACCATCTTACTTTTGTGTAATTTTAATGCATTTCAATGAGTATTTTATCTATCCATCCACACATTTGATGTTTGCAACTTCAGGTCCTGGAACTGAAATATTCTGCAAGCCATTTTTAATGATTCCTTGTGTGCTCAAGTGCCTAGACTATGATTTGCGATTCTTAATCTGGAAGTTAAACTACACCTTCAGCCCAATGCCTGGGCCCAAACACAGTGATTGATGGATTTAACTGGAAGATTACTACTGACAGGTTTGAAGCAGCTCTTTTGTATTGGAGGAGTATCTCCATAGCTAGACCACAGCACCAACACGGATGGAAAATATATGATTCACAGGGTGTGTCTATTTCTGTCAAATATTTTATCTGACTGGTTCAATCTTAGGTCTTGGTATCCTCACCACCTACAGTAAACATACATTATTTCTCTATTGAGTAAACTAACTCATTCCCTCCATAAGAATCTCCTTTGTAGTGAAAGGTTCTGTGGTAGTTTTAGTCTAGGCATTCCTTGGTGACCAGTTTGTAACCAAGGAAGTGACCATGTTCCCGGTATTCCCTATGATTTTTACACAAACCAGGGTATAAAGAAGAAGAGAAGAGAGCCTTCACTCTTTTCCCTTCCAGTGGTTCTGAAGGTGCAGGTTCCCTGCTGTTGGTTCTCATTATGTGGTGGAGTGAGGCCTAGTGAGGCCTTGTAGACCTTGGGAGGCAGAGGGTACCGGTGGTCGTTCAGCACGATTCTGCTGTCCCAAGGAAAGTAGTAAAATATTCTTTTGCTAATTCTTTATTCTGCTAGTTCCCGAGTTGTCGATTGTGCATATCTCTTTTTGGGTTTTTTGTCCCTTTTTGCCCCTTTTTTTCTTTTTTCCTTTCTCCTTTCCCCTTTCTGGGAGCTGTTTAGGGTTTCTGTGGTTATATGTATGTAGTATTTTAATTGTATATATCTGTAATATATGTTATATATATATATATAGTGATATAGCTTTTTCTATTCCATTTTTTTTTCCTTTGGAGGTTTTTTTTCGCTGTGGTCTGTTGGGGTTTGGCAGGAGGTCAACTACAACCGACTACAGGTTCAATGCCAGCATCACTCTTCAGAGGTTAGGAGGACAAGAATTGGCAAGATTTGACCCCTTTCAATTTACAAATGTCTACAACCTCCTCTTATAAGGGGTTAGTATATAGATATATTTTTTTCTTGTCCAGCTTCTACCAATTTTTGGCCCATTTTTCCTTGCTGATGTGTTCATAACCAAAGTGTGCTCAGACTGTGCCCTGGCCTCGGGGACAGGCAGGGGAAGGTCAGACTCAGATGAAAGTGCCCGAGATCCCCTTGGCGAGGAATATGTTACCCAGGCCTCGTTAAACTGCCAGGCCTCTTTCCTGTGTTTCTGTTCTCATTGTCGCTGGTCTCCAAGATATAGATACACAAAAAGCTTGACAAGCAGCACAGAAAGTCAGAAAACATATATGACAGCTTAATGACTTTGAGAAAAAAAAAATACCAGTGTTTATAGTTGCAGAAACAAGACAGCATGTCTTTAAATGACATAATGGACTTCATCTGTTAGAGCATTTGATTAAAAGTCTCTCATCATTTATAAACTAACAAAAGCTTCATCAGGCACTAAAGAAAATTATTGTTGTTTTTGTTATTATTATTATTATTTTTATTATGCATTTATACTGCAGTCATATCTAAGAGTTCCAGACAAGGAGTAACAGCTATACAAGAAGCAAAAAGAATAAAATAAAACAACTTTAATAGCAAATGACTGAGTCACAAATATTTTAAAAACTAGGTAATTCCCTGCGTTTCTTCTGCCAGATGCCACCCTTATGCACATATCTGAATATGTATATTTAAATATATATATCAAAATTCTACCATTAGTGAGAGCAAGAGTACAACCTTTTTTCCTAAATATTGGGATAAGATATATGTCATAATTATCTTATTTACCTGAAACACATGTGCATTGTGTTTATCATTGACTATTTCCAAAGCTAAAACTTCTAGCTAAACTAAAGGAAGGGTACATGTGGGACATGCAGAATTACACAATATCTAACTATTAATTTTGTATGAACTTTATGAAGTGTTGCAGAAAACCATTATCAGTTCCTTCAGAAGTTTTGGCATTAACAATCATAAAAGCTAAAATAAAATCTGACCTTTTTTAAAAAAGACCTCATGCAACAATATTAAGATCAATTTTTTGTTTGTTTTGACTTATACAATCAATTTTTCCCAACACCTCTTTGTAGCAGCTGGCAGATATCATTGTGCAGTGTTATTATTCCAGCAGTTTTATTTATTCTTCTTCCTATAGGTTTTTTGGAACTGCAGCACGCAGGGGTGATGCAATGACTACGACAACTACACCAATATAGGCAAAGAATGGTACAGGGAGTTAGAGAGAGGATACTTTTAGGGGATCTGAAAAGGCTGAAACCACTGCTAAGCATTCAGGCTGAAGGCATTCCTTAAATGTAGTAAGTGAGTAGCTAAAAGCTTGGCCTTCATCAGCAGAACTGATAGCAGCCCAAACCAGGATGAACGAAATGGTAAATAAATAAGGAATTCCGAATTTTTAGGTTGTGATATTCTCTAAGGACTTTTAAAGCCAGTGAGCAGATTAGGATATTCCATTTCCTCAGGACCTTAGACATATTTGTCCTGAGTCAAAGGTTAGTAACTGTGAATAAACATATATATCCTTCAAGGGCAATAAAATTTAAAAATACAGGTCCTTTGCTGACAACAACAATAATCCTTCTGACTTCAGCAAGCTCACTCTGACTTAAACAGGCTGAGGATTTGGGCCAAACTTAGAGCAACTTTCGAATTAAGAAATGTTAAGCCAACAATCAAAATTGTTTTTTCCAGAGAAAACCAGAGAAAGAGAGATGGTGTGAGAAAGGGAGTAAGAAGTGAACATGCAGGAGACCGAGAGAATACAGCAGCAGAAACAGGGGATTGAGTGAGGCATTTGGCACATAGTCAGATAACTAGAAACAGGACAAGTTTTGTTATCCCACCCGCTGTGATGGACAAGGTTCCTGGCCCTGCTTTTCTTCTTCAGCTCAATTCTGAATCATTTTACATTCCAGAAAAGATAGATGAAGCCCAAAGTCAGGTTCATCTCAAATACACACTGATACCTACCACAACATCAGACAGAATTATTCAATACAGAGTGGGCTTCCTACCTCAAAGTTGGGCAATCACACCACTGAAGGAAACAACACAGATGAGAGAATCCAAAATGCATGTTTCACTAAGTATTAAAGGCAGAATAAGACTAAAAGCAAGTAAAGTGGATGTTTGCCTAAAGATACAGGTAGGAGGTGAACAGACTGAGTAAAATTAGAGATGAAATCCTAACCCATGAAATAGACAACATCAAGATCTCTGAAAGAGAAATTAGAACAGTGAAGGAAAATCTGAGGTAAACCAGGGCTATAAAAGAGTGGAAAGAATAGAAGGAACTGCTTTAGGAAGTCACTGTACAGAGGTTGTAGAATGTGTAACAGGAGCCTGTGGGAGTTGATGGATTGCCACTTCACAGCTGCTGAGAAAGAGGAAATCTGGAGTCTAGCATCAGAAAAGATATTGAACGGAATCTCAATGCCTGTGATAGTTATAGATTTGGAAATATGAGACCAAGAGTGGAGACACATCCAGTATTAGCTGTATTGGGTTGTACAGAAAGAACAGTGCTTGGCTTCTGAGGCATCAACATTAAAAACAGTAATACAACACAATGTAACTGAAAACCCATGAGAGTTATCTCTTTTACATAATGTGTCTGTTTTCTAGTGAATTCTTTTGATAGATTTCCTTCATTAGCAGTAAAAAATAAATATTCAAGGAGAGAAGAAAATATGTTCTTAATTAATTAGTCTGATTAATCACATTTACAATCTGTCTCTTTTAGTGCATGTTTTCAAAAAATTGCATTTTTGATGAAGAATTGTACTCTGTTGAGTGTGGATTGGAAAGTCTGATAGAAACAGCCTATCAGCTGCATGTTTATGCAAATATAGCAGTTACACATGCATGTACATATTGTTCATTGACAATTCATTGAAGTTGTTGGTTTTATTCTGTGAATTAGAGTCCCTGAAATCATCTTTTAGCTGCTGAGACTCAGAATAAAATGGTGGTTGTCATGGGAGACAAACAAATTTTTCAGAGACATAACAATATATAATATGTAAGAAATAAGACAGTTATATAAAACAGTTTATTTGGGATATGTAGAGAGAGCACAGTCCAGCTACCGAAAAAATTGAAAAAAAACTTTTATAAACTTTGTTGAATTATATTCTTTAATAAAGCAATTTTTATTGGCATCATTCAATGCTGAAACTATTTGAATCAATGAAAGGAAGTATTTTCTCAGAAGTATTCCCATGTTTTGCATGCTCCGGTGCTCTCACCTGGACACTCCTGTGCCTCTCCAGCTGGGAGCAGGGATATGCGCAGGCGCAGGGCTCAGGGCTTGTGGGCTTAGAGTAAAGGTAAAAGCTCAGCTGTTCTGCTTGGCATTTACTCATGATGATTCCTGGGAAATCTACCAGGTTTATGCTTAGGTAGCATAGTCTTTTCCATAGAGACTGTGGGGAAAAAGCAGTCCTCTCTGGGTAAAACACAGGTAAACCCACGAGGGAATCCTGAGAGGGAAAACTCAGAGACTTTGCATCCATTGTCCTTATAGCAGAAGTGGTTCAAAGCTCATTCTGTATTGCAGTTAGAAAAAAACAATTACTTTAGCTTATTTTCCTTTTTTTTTTAATTCTTTTTTTTTTTTTAATAATCCTTTCAGTTTTTATGAATGTGCACTTCCAATGAAAAGTTTGAAGTAACATCTTTTTACTCTAGAGAATCCCTGGAAATTGATCTGCATTTCTAGTGTTTGGAAGATTCACCAGGGAAATATAAAGCCTGGGTTAGCTAATGATGTAGAGTTCCAGAGCCCACGATGAGCTCTGCTTCCCAGGTTAGGAGCTAGCAGATGTGCTGTTTGCCCCTTCCCACCTGCAGGATTCCCTTTCCATGGGAACCAAATTTTGGAATAGAGATGAGAAGTTTACAAATATCTGTGTCTCATCACAACATGGAGTCTTGAAAAACATTTTTTGTCCAGGATCTGGAAAGTTTTCCCAGCTCCTGTTGTGTAGACAAATCCTCCAGCAGCTACTGGCTCAGGCATAGAAGTCCCACATCATTCCATGCATTCCCAAGGAGGATTTCTTATTATGCACCCTATACCTTCAAGGTGTCCATGGGAAAATTTCTGGTGTAAACATTCTAAGCACACACAAGCACACATTCCCACATACGCATCTGCAAATAACTTTCATGTCTTTTTTGCATGAATATTTCTGTGAATGAAACCTTACTCCAGCAAATATTCACAGAAAGAAAAAAGAAGTGGTCATAGTTGCTGTCTGAACGCTCTGATGCTAAAGGAAACTTTAACCAGCACTGTTCATCTCTTTACCCTAAGGTACTTTGAGTCTTTAGGAGTTTTCGTCATATGTGGACTGCTGAATTTTGCCCATAACACTCCTTCCAGAAATTCTGGATTAATCCAAAACTCTAAACTAATTTTAGCTTATTTAATTAAATTTTCCAAAGATGTCACTTCACAGAAGAAGAAAAAAGGTTTTCGAAAGGTACTGCCTGAAAGGTTAAAATTTACATAAGTCTAGCATTATTATCATTATTAATACCTACAACATACCCCTCACAAGCCTCAAGGTGCTTCACAGAATTAAATTATGCCAATTTTCAAGGAAGTGGGAAAAGTCCTGTCACCTACATGATCCGAAATGAGATTTTTCAAATCCCTTAGAAACATTCAGATGGAAGCATTTTTGCCCAACTGCATACACAGAGAAGAAGACCTCATCTTTTTTATTGACCTTTCGATTTCCCTGCCTGCCAAGCTAATTGTACTCATCCCTGTTCCTTTTTTCTTATGCTCCCCTCAGAGATGATGTCCCAGCTAAACTGCTTTCAATGAGGACGTTTGTGGTGCAGGGTCTGGTGTGTTACTTTCTGGGAACAGGTCAAGCATAGGTGGATTTGCTGAAGCAGTTCTACAACACTCAGTGTCCCTTAGTACCTGACAGGCAATATTAGACCTCTTAGTTTTTGCCATCTTCTCATTTTCAGAAGTGTGGTTGGGGATAGATTTTCTTTTTCTTTGTTTTCATGACTGGATTTTTATGAATGTATTGCTTCCCAATGTCTGAATTCTGAATTTGGTTGAATTTTTGATCTAGTGTAATGCTGTTAAAAAAGATCAGACTGAAAGAGATCACCACCAGGGTCATTCTCTGAATGAAGGTAGAATAACACCTGTGTGAAAACAGAAAGGTCTGGCTTCTCTGAATGAATAAATAAATATCTTAAACACAATGTTGAAAGCAATCCATGGTATCACACAAACCTATCAGTTAGCTGAGTTGAACTCTGTATGGAAGCAGCAAACATGTTTAACCAAATTGTAGTCCATGCAAATCACTTTACATAGCTTTGAACTTAACTCCCATTTATTCCTTACTCTGGTTTACAAGGAATTTTCTTTCTCTCCTCAATTATTTGCTTTTGTTTGGTTTTATTCTGTATCATGGCATGATCTCTGGTGTAGGAGGGGCAAGTTCCACATCAGACAGCTGTTCCAACCAGAAAAAAACTAACCTAGATAAACAAGTCTCTAATCTGGAGGCATATGAAAGTTCTCCAGACAAGGTCTGCTCCCTGCTTGGGGTTCATTTTGCTTTCTGGTTCTCATATACAGAGGCCTGCTTGGGAAAATCAGACAGACTGTGTCTGCTTTGAATTTATCGGGCGAACACACACGCAGAAAACAAGAGTGTTTAGACTCCAGGCTGCTGGTGAATGCTCAGAATTCCCCACCGTCCCAATGACTGTAGAGCTAGTTGGCACATCTTCAATAAAAAATTACATCAGTGATGCTCTGGAAACTCAATTGAGGCATAGGAATGACAAGAAAATAAGCAAATCTGCAGTGAAAGCTCTGGCAAAAATTCTCTACTTCATTTCAAATGTAATAGCATTCCTGGTCTCTAATTTCTATTTTATTTTTAGTGACAAATGAATTACTAGCACAGCTCCTCATAATCTATTTCTTTCCATTTCTCAGACTCTTTTGAGGAGTGGTATAATTTTAGACTATAAAAATATACGCCATCTGGTTTATATATAATTGAGCCACTCATACACACATTTTTTAGATGTAAAGCCATGCTTTAGACAGAACTGGAGAAAGGCTGTGAGAAGTTACACATTGTTGAGAGCAAAACTGACTCCGTAGCCTCCCTAGGCACGCCTCCCATGTGGCCATGGTGTAGACTCTGTATAGTGTCACCTTGGGTGAGAGGTGACACAGAGGCAGAAGGGACATCCACACTGCATATGGAATTTATTGTGGTGTCAAGACAGGCACTTAAAGAAGCCCTTTTTTGGCTACCAGCCAATGTATGAGATTAAGCACTTGAGCAGAAGTGCTGATTTTATTATTCCCTAAGTGCTACAAAAGCAGATGGGAAAGTAGTACTCTCTTGATTTAAATCCATGCCATCAATTCGTGACCAGCAAACTGGTCAGTATGACCAGCTCATCAATAAGTCCAGTATTGGGGATTGGTGAGAATTGTAGTATACAGGATAAAATGGGGAACTTGGAAGAGCCAATCAACCATTTCTTTCTCCTGCCTTCCTCTGTTTACATAGCTCGGTGCAAAGGTCCTTCCTGCTCCTGGGCGACAATGCAGCTGTGTTGTGTATTGGCTTGGATTTACATCTCTGGCTCAACATCTCCATAAACTTCAGTGGAAGCCATTCACTGAGAAAAGTGTCCATTCCCTAAATGTGTGTCCCTGAACACCTGGAAGAGAGTGATCCCAAAGGAATTTGCTTTTCCTCAGCAGATAGTCTAATGATGTTCCTTGCTGTGATACTGCCAGTAGCAAAAGGCAAAACTGATCTTGTTGCCAGCTTTATCCCAGAGATCACAGCAAGCAAGTGATCAAGGCAGGAACAAACAGCACAGTTTAAAAAGTGAGCGAATGTGCTGAGTTTTAGAAGTTAAGGAAATACAGTTGGCTGCCACTGACATTGGGCAAACGCAGGGCGGTGGCTTTCAGCACAGCAATGCTATATTTGCTCTAAATGGGTTTACAGCAATCATTGAAACACAATATGCAATTAAAGCATATTTACTGCATCCACTTGAAACTTGTGAAACCAATGAGGAACACATTCATTCAGCAAACCTATCTTGCTCTGTTCGCATTGCTAGCTGGGCTGGCAGAGACACAGACTGGAAATTTGCTCTGAAGAAAACATCTCTACCACTGAAAAGTGTATATTCTATCATCCTAAAATGCCAACTAACATAATCATCAGAACAAGATCCAATGAAACACCAAACTGATATTGGCTTCACACAGGTTTGTACATCTGCTGCCAATCTGTTGTCCTTTTATGCCCTGTTTATGGCCCAGGGGAGCAATTTCTGTGTGCAGGCTTTACTCTCAAGGCAAGTGCTTTGGAGAATGGCACTCTAAGAGTGCACATTGACACAGGGTTTTTTATCTTATATTCTTCTCAGAATAGCAAGAATGACAAGATAGCTACCGACACTAATGTGCATTAGGTCAAACCCTAGTCAACCTACATACTGCCTAGATGCTGGGAAATAATGGGAAGAACCCTGCAATTGTTTTTGGAATTTTTTTGAAAATTCCCTGTTTTCACGTTCTCTCCTGCACTTCCATTCAGTGACCATGCACTTCATCTTAGTAGCTGGAACGTATTTAGAAAGCTGACTTGGAGTTGGAGTGCTC